CTTATCAAGTGACATTACCTCATCGGATGAATATAGTAAGAATCAAAAATCTTACCCTGTAAGAGCGAGACAAGGATCAAGAGTCTTACCCGGTAAGTGAGGGCGACAATTCTTACCACGGTAAGCGCATACCGGGTAAATTAGTGTATATTATGTCGTTTTGGTGGACTAAAATCTCACCCGTTAAGTACATAATAGTGTTAATTTTGCCGGTAAGCACTTACCAAGTAAGTGTTCGATAAACGGTCCCTTACTTTACAACCCACAATTAGAAAGTTTAAAGAAAACACTACTGACCAACAAGAAAAACAACTTAGGGCCCGATTACCTAAATGCTTACCCGGTAAGTGCTTAATGTTAGAGGTCAACACTATAATTTATTTTATTGGGTAAGATTGTAGTACATCAAAACGTATCCTATACAACAATTTACCTGGTAAGCGTTTACCGGGGTAAGAGTCGTCACCCTCACTTACCGGATCAGACTCTCCATCCTTATCATCGCTCTTAACTGGTAAGATTGTTGGTCCTTCTCATGTTCATCTCGTGAGTAAAATTACCCGGCAAGTACTTAGTGAGTAAACGTTTATACTTTCCGAATTAGGAAATGAACAGAAGGATCTAAAATCGCCATACCAACCATCGTAAAACCCACCGTTACACAATCTACAGAAAACACTAGTGATCAACAAGAACAACCAGACACGGAAGCAATTAAGCATCAGAAATTCAAATACTTCCTACAACAGGAAAGGAACAGAAGAACCATCATCGATCGCACGTTGCGTAAACGCAGTGTCTCCTATGCCCAACATTACGAAGGCGAACTGCTTCGCAGTGATGGTCGCAACCAACAGGGCCAGGTTGTAGACCATCTTTACTAAGATATTCTTTTGGGTTCTGCAGAAGCTGCAGCCTATGTTCTCCGGTGTCCATTAGAAACTCTTGATCGTCTTCATCTTCCGCTAATGTTCGGCACTCGGCCATGGTGCCATTGCACTGATCAGCTGCGTACTGGTTCGATGACGAAAGGGAGCTGCTGCAATCAGTGATCATCATCATCATCATCAAGATGATTGATGAAAGTAATAACAACATGACCCAAATGATTTCTTGATGATTACAAATGAAGATAATGTTGTGAATGTGTGAACTGTGATCCCAGGAACTGAAGAAAATGTTATCAGGTTGATATGTTCTTTCCAAAAGAAAAGGCAATTATTAACCGGTGCCTGATTGGTTTGAGCTTGACTTCAAAGGTCAAAAGTATCAGGAGGTCTCAAGTTTAAATCCAAGGAGGAATAAAAATCCCCTTGTGGCCACGAAGGTTCAAATGCGGTGACTCTGGACTATCTGCGAAGCAGGTGGTCGTCCTGGGATTAGTCGACTCGCATAACGAGTTGGATATCCTGGTTAATAAAAAAAAGGGCAATTATTGCTTCTTTTTCTCTTTTGATTTAATTCTCCCAAAAAAATATTGCAACTGTTGGAAAATTTGGGTTCTATATCGGATTTAGACTCAAAAATATACTTGAACCCGTGCTCGAAAAGAAAAGATATTTATGTGTCTACGTAGTCTTTACTAAAAGCTTCGTTTCGACATATTGCACGTATAAAACGAAGATGATATGAAGGAGAAATTCATCGTCAAAGTAGTGGATAGAGGGTAGATGTTAGGAACACTATAACAAAATCGGGTTTATATGACACTCCCAAATTCTAAGTGTCCTAATAGACCTCTTTATAGGACCAAAACAATAAAGTGGCATATCTAAAGATGTTGTAATATGTTTATATGACATTATTTTGACGTCGTAATAAGTTTTTTAGTACATTTTTAATATAAAGTGTCCTATTATCAACTTTTTAGGACACTATTTGAAAAACTGTCATATAAAAACAAATGTCCTATACAAAGTTAAGTTTATAGGACACTTTGTCAAAAGTGTCCTATAAAGTTGCTAATGCGACACTTAGTATTAAAAATGTTCTAAAAAACTTGTTAAAACGCTCAAAAACGTCATATAAACTTATTACAACACATTTAAATAGGACGCTTTGTATTTTGGTTTTATAAGTTAAGTCCTATAAAACGGTCTATTGGGACGCTTAAAAATTGGTGGTGTCCTATAAACCCAATTTTGTTGTAGTGGAATGTGAGAAACGCAAATGGGTTTGTCCCACGGTGGAAAAATGAAACTTATACGAGTTTATAAATGATTCCATGGTTAAGTTGAACGATTAAGACTCGTTAGGAGGAAAACATGTCAAACACGGGCATCAGTTGCTTCTTTTTGTTTTTGTTTCTCGATTTTGAATACATTAAATCTACTATAATTGTATAATAATCACAGATGTCAAATTTGATAACCTCATTTTTAGTGTTTGGAGGTCCCAGGTTCAAATCCAAAAAGAAATAAAAATCCCCTTGTGACCATGGAAGTTCAAATGCGGTAACTCCGGGCTATCTGCAAAGCAGGTGGTCGCCCTGGGATTAATCGGCTTGTATAGCGGGTTGGATATCCATGTTAATAAAAAAAATAGTATAGGTAGATTTCTTAATCATTAAAATTTGTCAATTATGAAGTGGAATATGTATGCCTCATGAACAATTAGAAAGGGTAAAGAAGACACTTATGACCATAGAAACACAATCTAGCTTTAGAAATTCTATAACTTCCATAATAGGAAAGGAACATATGGATCTAAATTAAACGTTAGAAGTTCAAATAAGAAGGCTAAATATCGTGAGAATATAAGAAGAGAAAGTTCATATGTGAATCATTGAGAAAATTCATCTGATGCTATATATGAGAACCCATATTAATATTCTGTTACACCATTTCACGTATGCATCTTCAAATAGATTTTTCATATTCTCTTAATTATTCGCATATGAACCTTCTTTTCTTAACATGTTTATTTGAATCAGCCCCTACAGGCTACAGGTAACATATGCATGGCCTTCACAACAACCGAATCGTCTAAAAACCCCCAATTAGATAGGTTAAAGAAAACACTAACAAGAATTATTAGAAACACAATCTAACATCATAAATTCTGAAACTTTCCATAATAAGAAAGAAACAGAAGGATCTAAACAAGGTCTGGTAATCGTCTAAACACAATCTAGCATCAGAAACCTTTTCAAAATAAATGTCCCTAATAAAAAAAAATGCAAACAGTTTTATAACTGATCCAATTATCATACTTTTTAGTTAACTAAACGACAGTTTTACCAAAATTATAAATTTCCTAATTTAAGTTTTATAACTGTGGTTTTCTACCCATTCAAGTTTGCCTTTTTTAAAACGTACATGTCCATGTGAAAAATGTACGCCCTCTCGAATTCTCACTTTCTTCATCTCTCAATTTCTTCTTCTCTTTTCAGTTTTACTTTTGATGTTCTTGATATTTGGGGCCTAATCAAATGAGAACTAATTAGTTTGTGGTAACCGTGAGGTACAATCTCAACCACAAATCAATAGATAAATTAGGAAAATTTTAATTTTGGTAATTTTTAATTAAAATTTTAAGGCAAGGACATTTTAGGTATTTTCTCTCCTCTCTTCTCTCTCCGTCCCCCGGCCTCCGTCCTCCGGTGATACCACAGTGGTATCACAATGCATCTTATATGTGATTGGGTATCACACTGTGGTCGTTTGTACGGTCGATCAGATATGTAACACAGTGGTATCACAATCCATCTTATATGTGCTTGAGTATCACACTATGGTATTACCGGAGGACGGTGGCCGGAGACCGGAAGACGGGGACGGAGAGAGAAAAGAGG